AACCATGGGAGCATCTGGAAAGTTTCAGGAGTAAGGGAACAGCAGGGAATGTTTTCCAAAAGATGTCTTTTCGCCTGCAATCTGAAGTCTGACCTGACGCAGGTGGGACAGGGAAGAGGGTGGGGCAAGGACAGTGTGTCTTGTCTAGGTGGATGGGGGTAAATGAGCAGCAAACAGATGCAGAGACAGAACAGTAATCCAGAAGACTATGCATTTTAAGAAAAACAGCATGGACATTTATTTCTATCTTTACAAAATTAAACTCTACATAGAGAACCTATTAGGATTTCTTTTGAAGCTGTCACACTACTAAAGAATACCTTGATGATATTGGCCTTGTGTGTTACTCTACATGTCCACGTCTTCTGACAGTTTTTGAAGTTGCGCATGTTCACATTTGACTTTCATACCAACCTTGTGAAGTGGTTAGGTTTGGTAATAATATACCTATCCCAATGAGGAAACAGTCCCCAAGAGGCTGAGGCCCAGCACGATTGCAGCACCAGCCTTCAGCAGAGTCAGATCTTGAGTCCAAGAGATTTTGGATCCCCTCTTCAGCACGCTGCCTTTGTACTCTCCGTATTTCTGGTTAGTGATAACTAAGCCTTTCTGAGAATAGCATTGTTATAAAAGTGCAGCTCTGTTGAAACTTGAGTGACTTAAAGCACGATATTGCAAGAGCCTTCCAGTCTCAGTGGCATGGTGCTTCAGCCAGCTCTTTGTAGCTTATTAAAACAAACTGTGACATACTGAGAAGACATTCACTGACATATTTTATTTTGCTATCCGTGCATTTCCTTGTGATTACACAATCTCATTCCAAGAGGAGTGAGAAATCAGACCGAGGCCAGCATCGCTGCCTTTTCTGGTCTGAAGCACTTATAATGAGAGGCAGTTAGATGTTGCTTTGTAGAAACGAAAGAAAAACATTGCTCTCTAAAAATAATGTTTTAGATCAGGTATAGGACAAATGAAGTCACACCCCCTAATATATTTGTCTCTTGCATAAATATTGAGGGTTTTGGAAAAACTATAAATAGTATTCCAAAGCCAGATGCAGCCACTTCAGTGCTTTGTGTCTGACCTTAGACAGGCAACTTAATTTCTCTAGGATTCAGTCTCCTCATTTTAAAAACTAAGGTAATACCTATCACAAAAGTTGATGTGAGAATTAGAGACACACAATTCCCTCAGATGTGGTTGTTTCAGTTTTACGTTTCTGCAACAGGGATTTATCTAACGGTAGATGGTACATTTACCGTCATAGCTCCCCGCCCCTCCAAGGCTCTGATGGTGCTTCTAACGATCAGTGATATCAAATTGAGGAAATAATAGCATGTAAAAAGGTTAATGCAATGTGCATTCGGTAAGTAGCTGCTGTCATTCTTTATTAAAAATTAAGACAGAATTATGGCTCCTGTGTAGGGGAAGTAAAGCCTACCTGGAGGTAGATATATATACAGAAAACCAGGTGTGTGAGGTGGCCACGTGTAGGAGAGCTCATCTTTTCTAGGAACCTAGATATCGAAGGTGTGAGGCTGTAGTGAGACCAGTTAGTGGAACTAATAAGTGTCTACACTATTTAGGGAGAGCCAGATGGGGCAGGAATGAAAAGTAGGTCTTATTAATCCATGCAACTATCAAAGATGGTGGTGGTTGTCACTTTTTTTCTCTTGTTTTTTTTAAGGAAGTCTTACCTTGAATGTCTTCAGATTAATCACACCTGTGTTGCACAGAGACCTGGCCAGGACTGATTGTTTATTCTTTGTCCAGGTGTTAAAGGGAGAGCCTGGCTCCTTTTTATAGGAGTAGCAATACTAGCTGGAGACCCTCAGGGAAAAGTGACTTTTAAGAAAGAGATTGGGAGCCAGGCTCACTGGCACATGTCTATAGTCCCAGCGACTAGGGTGGCTGAGGTCCTCTCTAGTGGGAGGACCACTTGAGCCCAGGAGTTTGAGGCCAGTCTGGGCAACATAGCAGGACCTGGGCTTTATTTTAAAAAAAAGAAAGAAAGAGGGAAAGAGAGAGATTAGGGGATTAGGACATGATGTTTTGTTCAACTGTACCTCCCCTCTTGGAAAGTTTCCTTCCAGTGGAAGACTTGAAGGTGCCAAGTTACACTTTATTAAACAAGGAGGCAGCCTGTGCTTACAGATCTTTGCCTGCAAACCCACGTGAAAGACCTACACTCTAGTTTAAGTGTCTCTAACGTGGGTGAGAAGAGTGGAGATGTGAATCTCAGGTAGGTGGAACATAAAACAGGCACATACTATACAGGCTGTTTGTAGCCCCCTCTCTTTTAAATATAGATTTAAAATGTGTCTTGATATACACAGAAGTTAGGGCTAAGGGGACATTAACGCCAGCTCTTTCAAACAGTTCAAAATGTATTTCGGTGGGAGGGGAAAATATAAAGCTAATGTGGTAAAATGCTAACATTTATCTGAGTGAAGGGTTCTGTGGGAATTCCTTTTTTACTATCTTTATGTTGTAAATTTTTCTGTAAGTATAAAATTATTTTTAAAGAAAAAGTTAAGAGCATCTTCTTGAGTGTCTTTCCATGCAAGCATATATTTTATGTAATTAAATCTTACTTTTGTATGTATACCCTGTGAAGGTATTCATCTAGACTGCCATTGGTCATTTGATCATTTCCAATTATTTGCTACCATAAACAGTGCTACCTGGAGATCCTTAGGTACATACTTGCAGATACTTGGAATGAAATCCCTGCTTTCCTTTGAAACGCCTGCCGCTCCCATGATGGACCTGATAGAAAAATTCACAGTAAATTAACCAACTAATGCTTAAAATAAAGTCCTTAATAAAAAAAAAATTAATGGGCTAAATGGTGATCTTTATTTATTAGTATCTAGGTAAAACAAATGTTGCTAATCTACCATAAGATCTAGAAAAAATTCTTCACCCTTGACTCATCTCATGTAATGAAACTTCTTCAGACAAATTTTTTGGTGACATGACTTGAAACATCTTGGCTGAATGCTGACTGCTTGAGTAATTATGAAGAGCAGAAGGAAGTTTTTCTTGAAGGCATAGCTTTCTGACCTCATTATGTTGGAAACAGTGGTCAAATAAAACTTTGCCCTCATTCCAATCAGCTTCACTCCTTTTACTGATTGTCAGATATTTTGATTAGATCACCATTCTTACTCCAGCAGCAGATAGGCCCAGGGGATATTTTTCCAGAGTCAATACAGTCATATGCTTTGTTCTGTTGATTCACCTTCAGCTTCCAATGATGCATGTAAAAAATTGAAACTATAGAATACAATTCTATTTTACCCTCAGAATAAAACAGAATTCATTTCTGTATGTGACATTTGTGCTAAAGTAAAGCATTAATGTTTGATCCAGTTTTTAAGTGCCCCCTAATGGTTTTGAGAGACAAAACAAAACATCTTGTCTAAGATGGGTCCGAAGGATCCAGGAGATGAAGAGACACCCTTGATTCTCGCTGGCTAACCCTCCTAACTTCCTGGCCCTACCTCAACCATAACAAACTGCAGACATTTCAATAAAACCATTTCCAGGACATTTACATGTTTCAAAAACAGACCTAGATGGGTCAAATTGCATTTGAATTTGGCACGTCCATTAGGTTCAATCACAAGGCAGTGTGTGTGCTGCCTTTCCTTTTCCTTCTTCCGTTCAGTAAACTGGAGTGAAGGAGGGTGGATTAATAAACCTTAGATTATAAATTAGCGACCAGTGCTGTATTCTACGTTTAATTAGGACTGAGAATAGGCTAAAGACCCTTTTCCATCTAATCTCTAGTTGTGAGGTAGGTGCTGGGTCAGTGATAGGCGTGTACATACTGTACAGGGCTTGCTAACCCTAGCCCAGGGCACTCCACTCATGAACCACCACGAAGCAAGTTGTTATTCAGTTGAAAACCATGGAGTTGCAAATATGTTTCATGTCTCTGATGCAGAGAATAAATATTGTTTTAAACCTGACTTTTTTCATTTTTTTCACTTAAAAATATGTAGGCTGTAAAATGACACTTTCTAAGTGCTCGCTGTGATAGGGACGCTGGCAGCAGGAGCAGTGGTCATCATTTGTTTAGCTAGGAATGAGGAAAAGTTAGAAATAGTGGATCTTTTCTTTAAAACACTCAACAATCTCCTCTAACCTTAAAGACTTTCTCTGGAAATCTTTTGAGTATACATGTGTTTGTATATGGTGAAAATGCTGACTTAAAGTAGAGTTAGAAACATTTTTAACTTTGAAATGAATTTTGGTAGATTAAAACCTAAGAGCAGTCCCTCTTCCCGGCCCCACACTGCTCTGTCACCTGGGCTAGAGTGCTGTGGCATTATCCTAGCTCACTGCAACCTCAAGCTCTGGGGCCCAAGTGAACCCTCCTGCCTCAGCGTCCCAAGGAGCTGGGGTTACAGGTGTGCATCACCACACCTAGCTATTTCTTGTAGAGACAGGGGCTTGACCTGCTCCCCAGCTTAAAATCTCTCCTTGACTGAAGTAAGTTCTCTTTCTGTGGAGGCCTAAGTTCAGTCAAGGAGAGATCTTAAGCTGGGATCTTAAAATCCCTTTAAGTTCCTAAAGCATTCAGTGGCTCATTGGTTAGCTGTTACTATAAGGTAACTGACCATGGCAACTATTTTTATCTCTTTTGCTGCCATTTTTGCTAAATCCCTTATTCTCCTTGTATATTCTTTAGTATACAAGTTTTCCTTTGGAAAATTTTCACCTAAGGTTTGCAATTAGTATGTCATTGCCTGTGGTGTTTCTGTTTAACCCATATTTGTCCCCAGGATGATGTCAGGTTAACCGCTTTGGTTTTATTTACATCTATTTATTTATATCATTTTATTAAATGAAAAGTTCTAATACCTGGCTAATAAAAGGTTGGCCCTGAGGTGCCTACCTGTGAGAGTGCCGCTGTATTCCTACAAGTACCTACTAACACCCGACTCTTGGCTTTGTTGACTAATCTTTTCTTTCTTGCTTTTCACTTTTAGCAGACCTACTCCAATGAAGTCCATTGTGTTGAAGAGATTCTGAAGGTGAGTTCATTGTTACTGTTTCTGATTTGAAGAAATCCTTAAGTAGGCAGACATAAATGCATTTAAAGAACAGTTACCATTCCCAAACCTCTTTAAACAATTTTTCCCCTCCAAAAGCAAAGTAAACCAACATAGTAACAAAGAGGATCTAGGAACATAACTGAATTCTTTAACAGATTTTATTAATTATTATTATTACTATTATTTTTTACCTAGAGACAGAGTCTCACTTTATCACCTTCGGTAGAGTGCTGTGGTATCACACAGCTCATGGCAACCTCCATTGGGCTTAGGTGATTCTCTGAGTAGCTGGGACTACAGGCATCCACCACAATGCTCAGTTTTTTGTGATGGTTTGACCGGGGCCGGGTTTGAACCCACCACCCTCAGTATATGGGGCCAGCGCCCTACCCACTGAGCCACAGGCACTGCCCAGATTTTATTAATTAAATTGAAGTCTACAGACTACAAGGCATTTGGACCAGAAGTTTTATGGTACCTCTCAAGTTTTTCTGGCTGTCCATAAAGACCCAGGAGAGTTAGTTGCTCACTTCCCAGAGAGGAACCATGTTGATGTGGCACCAGTGGTCACATAGAGCTTGATATATGCCACTTGGTGTGGCATCTTCTTCCATGAGACCATGACCTGTTAAAGGAATTCAAAAACAAAAACTTAGTGGGAAGGAAACGGGCATCTTTAAACTTAACCTTAAAGGGTTTTTTGCTTTTGTTCCTAGTTCAGTGAAGTCTGTTTTGAACAAATATATCATAGACTGTATTACCCATTTGTTGAGTTTTTCTTGCGTAAGGATGACCAGTTCCTTATATAGTTTAATTCAAGGACAAAAATATAAGTTCTCCTCATGAACCAGCATGCTTTCTTTCTATCAATCAAAGAAGAATTAGATAAATTATCATGTTTCCCATTTTGGCTATAATTTCTAGGAAATCTAGAGCTTGATTTTGATGCTCAGATATAGTAATTGTAAAACCTGAGGATTTTGTGTATTTATTGCTTAGCTTTCCTCTCTGGTCTTTAGTTTGCTTCTAGGTCGATTTTTAGTGATATTCTTGCTGTCCTTTACTGTAAGGTTTCTGATTTTTTCCTTTCCTTTTAATTAGTAGGAGAGGTGTACATAACACCTATGCCTATTAATTTGAACCTCTGCTGCTCATGTTTTCTCTCAAAATATGCATGTAATTTTTTCTTTAAAACAAGTTTCATTGTAAAGTATTAAGTGATGGTTGTCCTGAAATTAGTAATTCAGTGCAGTTACCTCCTCACTTATGAAATATTTGACAAAAGTACTATCTAGGGTGGGAGCTGTGGCTCATGCCTATATAAGCCTAGCATTTGGGGAGGCTGAGGTGGGAGGATTGCATGAGGCCAGGATTATGAGACCAGCTAAGTATCTAATCAGATGTTTGGAAAACAGATTTATAATGTTTGTTTTACAGTCTTTTGTCCTGTCTTTTGTAGTTAAGCCTTTCTGAGAAAGAAATAGCTCTAAAAAAACATACTTTGAACTGCTAAAAGCGAGAAAGTTTTGTCAACTAACAAGTAAGATTAATAACAAGTTAGTTACCTTGATCAAGGTTTAGTATCCTTTTCCTTTTCTATTTCTGCAGTTCTTTCGTATAGTGAGTCATGAGAATAATAAATGACTTAATTATAAAAGATGGTCTTAGCATTTTATCTGAAATTGTGTATAATTCTGTAGTTGGAATGTAAATGCAGCATTGTAGATTTGTTGTCTTCTGCATATGTCAGATGCTTCTTAGATTTTGATGTCAAGACACGTTGCATTCTTTATTTAGGAATAATGACATTTTAGCATTAGGCAAGCATTTTTTTTTTGGTAGAGACAGAGTCTCACTTTATTGTCCTCGGTAGAGTGCTGTGGCATCACATAGCTCATAGCAACCTCCAACTCCTGGCTTAGGTGATTCTCTTACCTCAGCCTCCCAAGTAGCTGGGACTACAGGCACCTGCCACAACACCCAGCTATTTTTTTTTGTTGCAGTTTGGCCGGGGCCAGGTTTGAACTGCCACCCTTGGTACATGGGGCGGGCGCCCTACCCACTGAGCCACAGGCGCTGCCCAAGGCAAGCATTTTTAATTTAAAGAACCCCTCTGTCCTTTCCTCACCCAGTCTTACCTTAATGAGTTATTGCCTTTCTAGGAGTGCTTGCGAGCAAGTGGTTAATGCAAACAAAGGATGGATATTTTCATTTGGAAATCATAGATATTGGGAAAGCAAAAAGAAGTATGTTTAGGATTGACGAGGCCGTAGCCTTTTTCACAGTGGAAACTGAGTCTATGACTTTCTCTGTGACCTCATTTAAGTTGTATGGCCTCCCTGGGCTTTGGCACCCCTGCTGAAAAAGTGAAGGCCTCAGGCTGGGAGATGATTGAGGGTCTGTGTCAGCTCTCACGGAGGCTGGTCTAAGTACTCTCTTGCCTTATGGTTCCCATTCTGATCTGGTACCAGCAATTCATTAAGATTGCCAGGAATCCAAACACAAATCTTTCTGATGAGCAATAAAGGCAGTAAATAGTTTCCTAACAGAGAAAATCAATCATAGAAGATATTATTTGGTTCTCTGGGGGCAATATTTGGGGTGGAGGTGTCCTAATGAAGGGGAAGTAGTAGCCTGTAGCTCCCGTAGCTGGCGAGTTAAGAAGAGAGCAGACAGGCATTGCTGGCAGCCAGGAGTGGCCATGCCCCAGGGCCCAGAAAGGGCAGCGCTCCCCGGGGGTGTAATAGAAACACCTCAGGCTTTCTGCTTTCAGTGTCTCCGTCTCTTGGGGAATTGATGTAGCCCTGGCCGACGCATCGCAGCATTTCTTAATGCTGCTGCGGGGAGCAGTGGCACTGTTATTTGTGTGCGCATTTGTTCATTTATTGAACAAATATCCGTTAAACTTCCAGATACCTTTCTAGGCACTGGGATATCATCGTGAAGAAGACAGAGTCCTTGCTGTCACAGAGATGATTATGGGAAAGAAAATTGTATAATGTTGGGTTTTGATGAATTCTATAAATAATGTGACAGGTCAGTGAACAGAGGATTCAGAGGGAAGAGTTGGTGGAAAAATCTTGAGGTGGGAGGAAATTGGTATTGTTAAGGGAACAGCTATAACTGGACAGTGTGTCCAGTGCAAAATGAGCATGGAAGGACAGGACAGAGCCAAGTGATTTGGCTCATTTGTAAGTCACTGTTAAGGTAGTGAGTGAAATCATGGCCTCGTGAGTCTTTCTGGACAGGCTCCTCCTTTGTAATGGCCCCAATTCTCCTAAGGCCTAAGGCCCTCTAGTAAGGTAGACATTTAGGGAAGTATATAAATCTTTTCAGACTACCAGGGAACCACTTAGAGGCTGGAAGAATTTATGTGCTTTCCAATTGCCTGATTAGATAGCCAGGGCAGCCTTAGACATTGGAGTACAATGGAGGTGGTTTAGGAATAATTGGTGACCTAAAAGTCAGAAATCACGGAGATTCCAAAGAAATGACTGGAAAACTTAAGGGTGATCCTTTCAAAGACCTTTTCTATTATTATGTTTTGATATTGTAGCATTATGCTAGTTCTGTGCCTTAATGTATTGTCAAGTAAATAAAACAGGGTGCTGACTTTGGCATAACTAGACTTTTAATTAAAAGTTGTAGTGTTTTAAATTTCTCAAGTACCCTTTGTGCACCATGCCTTCAAGCACTTTACATAAACTACTCTTACAACACTTTGAAAAAAGTAAGTAGTCTGAGCCCACCTCTTCATGAGAACTGAGGCTTAGTTCAGACAGTTTCCTGGGGCTGGCAGGGCTGGTGAATCAGAGTGAGGACTCCCGCCTGGGCCTCTGGCTTCAGAGCTATTACTCTCTCCAGGATATCTTAGTACAGGACTCCTGTTGTGTCCTGAACAAAGCAGGACACTAGATGGTGACCAGGACCAGGAAGTGATTTCTCTTTGAACTGATACTGGCTCTCCAGTAATTTTTGTTATGTCGATTGTCACCAAAACAAAGTCTCTTATGTGTATCCTGGGGCTATGATAACCTAAATCACAGCGAGAGAGAAGCAAGAGAGAAAGGCGTGCCTGGAGGGTGGGAGTGGAGTCCTTGCTGGAGCACCATCTGTAGGTGTAGTGCCAGTCACAGGATGTTTCTGCACAAGTGGAGGATGCACAGCCCCCCGGAAAGAGTGGAGGGTCAGGGTACCTGACGTCTTCCTCAGGGGCACCAGCTTGGTTGGTAGAGTTGCCTGTGGATTGGTAAGCCAGTTTCCTGGGTGGGTCTGACAAATGTGGGAAGGGAAGGACTTCTCGCTCTTTGAGAAGACAAAGGGAACTTTGACCTGTGCTCTGGCAGCCTTCAGCTTCCTGGAGGACCTTGACCTGGTCATTTTGGACCTCAGTTTTCTCACTCTAAAATGGTGAGAGGTTGGAATTAATGCTATCCAATGCTGTTTTAGCCCTTTAAAAAGTGTGTGTATGTATGTATGTATTTGTGATTACCTGACATACCTGTTTTCTACCAAAAAAAAATTGTTTTTAGCAAAGCAAAATAGAATTCATGAATGTTGTTGAGTTCTTAGGAGAAAATAATTTATGTCAAAATAAATACATTACTTTATAAGATCTAGAAATCTCCAATGAAGAAAGTAGTAAAAATCAAACTTCCCTGAACAGAAAAGAAAGGTAATTTTTTTAAGGCCCTGTCTTGCAAAAGTTCTTATGTGCTAATAGTATGTATCAGGGAAGGGTCAAATCCATTAAAACTCTCCCAAGTGGAACAAGTGACCTGAATTACTTGTTTGCTTAAGTCAAACAGGAAAGTTCTTCTTCCTTTGAACTGAAATAATTCCAGGAAATGCAATAAAGCAGCTGAGGGAGGAAGAAAGCCTTGAGCAGGGGCAGCTCTGCCAGCCCAGCCGGGCGCCTGCAGTCTGCACAGCTCCACAGGCTCTGGCAGTGCCTGTCACAGCGTGTGTGCGTGACAACACTCGAGCTGTTGCGTTCATTCACCATCTACACTCCTGTTTTGGTTTTGCAGACCAAATTTTCCCCTACTTTTGTAAGTTGGAGATCGTCCGTTTTAAACATAGCCCACTAAAGTAGGGATTTAAAAAGAAAAAAATGAACTGACTTTTATGATTGTACTTTTTTCATTTACCATCAATCCATACTATGTTAAGTTCAAATAGTTAAGTAACAGTGACTGTTCTGTGTATAATTTACCTTTTCTTCTTTTCTCCCCCTCCCAAATCTCTTTCCAGGAAATGACCCATTCATGGCCTCCTCCTCTGACAGCAATACATACGCCTAGTACAGCTGAGCCGTCCAAATTTCCTTTCCCCACAAAGGTAACTCATTTAAAGCAGAGCAGGCACTACGTCCACCCATCTTAGTGCAAAGTCGGAGGTGTTGCTGAAAGCCAGCTTGATAACGTACTGCTTTCATTTCTGTAGTGCTTCGTGATGCTTCCAGACGCTTCATTCTCCAACTTAAATTAATAAGAACATCTTGGATTTGTATATTAAAGCATTGAGAGCATTCTAATACATTTTCTCACATGAGGGTCCTGACTTTAGAGGTGGGAAAACAGAGGTACAGAGAAATGTCTGATTGGTAGTTCAGAATTGAGGCATATTCACGTGTATATCTTAACACATCTCGCATTCCCTTGGTTTTCTCAGAGTTTGCGATCAGCTGCACAATGCTGATTTAATAACAAGCAAGTAAACTGCTCACTTGTGTGTTTTCGTGATAGCATCGATGACCAGCGTCCTAAAACACTGTTAATCTCCCTTTTATGTGGTTTATGTTTGTGGTAACCTTCAGAGTCTAGGAATTATACCTTCAGATCTGTATTCTGTTCAGCCTGGTTTGAATCCACATTCTTATATATATTTAAATATGTAAAAAAGTATTTATAGTTAATTGCTTTCCAACATACTGTTTTTAGAATGCATAAGTTGTATTATAAGAATGCATATCTATAGTTATATCTATAAGTTATCTATTTTTTTTTGGCCGGGGCTTGGTTTGAACCCACCACCTCCGGCATATGGGGCCGGCACCCTACTCCTTTGAGGCACAGGTGCTGCCCATATAAGTTGTCTATTTTACCTATTTTATAAGGGTAGCCATTTTCAAAAGGTGATTCATTATTACTGGTTTTAAAAGGCCTTAAAATCTAAACATATTTTTGCTCAACACCAAAGAAAAGTGAACTCTAGGAAAGAACAGAAGCAATAAAAGCTATTTTATGTAAAAAAGAAATTAATCACTGTTTGCAATTATGCATTAAAAAATGAGATTGAATATAGAAAGATGGATAGCTAGAAAGGTTGTGGAGGGACCTGTTAATTACAGGATGGATATGGTGGGAAGTGTGGATATTCTCTGTACCATTTCCATTTTGCTGCGTATTTGGAAGTTTCATAAGACTGTCCTTTCAATATTTAAGGCTCTGTACTTTTGCCCCTTATATTTATAAATCTTAATGTTTTCATAACTAGAGACTTTTCATTTTCTTTCTAGGATTCTCAACACATCAGTTCTACAACCCAAAACCAAAGTAAGTAAATGTCTGTTTATTACCCTGTGGAAGATAAAGCATAGTTTTTACCGTTTTAACATAAAAATATTAGTGGACAGTGCCCTGGCAGAGATGTGGCCTTAGAAAGGAGAGCAAACATGCAGCTTATTCTTCATTGGGATTTCAGATTGTTGCAAAGAGCTAATGAAGATGTTTAAGTAAACATGACTTGGTGTTACTGACACGTGATCAGTATCTTATTTGTGACTCTCAAAGTTTTGTAACCCAGGAATTCTATTTAAAAATGGGTTATGGTATTTTTGGGGTCCTTTTTTAAGGGGTTGTAAATACAGTACTAAACTCAGAGGGAAACAGAAGAAAGCCAATGGGCTCCATTTTTTCTGTTCAACAGTAACCCCTCAGATCAGTAAATTCTTTGTGTCCCAACAACATACAAGGCATGTCTGGCCTTACGAAAATGACTAGCATATTTATGGTCACTTAGCTCATAGTGTGGAAGGGGAGTAAGACACTTGCACAAGTGCTGATATGAGAGGCAGGATGTGGTGATTGCCGAAGTGGTGAAGCGTCAGTCTTCAGAGGACAGGAGGTCACAGCAGGGTGGATGGTGTCTGCTCTTTGGGAAAGGAGAGTTCAGAGACACTCCATACAGGTGACTTTTCCTTCCAGTCTGTCACCACATTCTTTTCTCTCACTTGCATATTTTTTTCTTGATTATGTTGTTGTTTGAATTGCAAAGGTATGAGGTGAGGAAAAAAGATTTTAAAAAGCAAGAAACAATATCCTTCCTCTAGTATAGGAGTGGATAGACTGTAGCCTGAGAATCAAATCTGCCCTGCAGCTAGTTTTTGTAAAGTTTTCCTGGGATATAGCCATGCCCACTCATTTATTAGTCTACAATGATAGCACACAAAACCTAAAGTACTTACTATCTATCTGGCCTTTGTTTAAAAAAAATGCTTGGCATTTTTTAATCTAGAGATAGTGAATATCCGACAAAGAACCCTTAATAATTTTTTTCCAAATATAGAGAAATAAACCTGACTATTGCCACAGTATTGTATAATTATCCAAGTAAAATTAACTGATGGCTGCTTGGGGAGACTGGGAATCTTTTCTCTCATATCTTGGTAGCCAATCTGAGGATAGATGACCAGTGCAAGAGGACAGTCTGGAGCTGGAGCTCCCTCTGAATGTGGATTTGGTTACTGTGTTCGCTTTTCACCTCTTGCTTCCCTCCTCCATCTGACTGGGCTGCCAATCATGTGGACTCTATGCCTTCCACAGGTTGCCCATGGCTTGCATGGTTGCTAACTCAGCTTTGAAAAGAATCCTTAATCCTTTAAACTACTTGAGGTCCCCCTTTTTGTAACAGAGTTGTAGATGGACTGGTAAGCATTGCCTTGGCCAAGGAGGCAATGTGGGCCACTTCCTTCTTATTGCCATGAGCAAGTGCTGGTCCTAGTGGGTCTCCTACAGGTCACAGATCACCAACTGCTACTTCAGGGTCTTTGCTGCTGGTGCCACTTTGTCTCTTGGTGTTCAGGGAACCGTATTTATCTTTATGAGGATGTGGCCTTAGAACATTCTCTTATTCCCCACCTCCAACTAGAGAGGTCTAGTCGTATGTCAGATAAAGAGGGGTGGGGTGTGGATGGGTGTAGTTTTCCGTGAAATGTAGAGTATGGCACCCATTTCTCACGGTCTGCCCAGCAAGTGAATTCTGACTTCTTCAACACTGACCTTATGGAATCGGTACACGGGGAGAGGGCAAGTGTAGGGGTTTTACTTGGATGGCCTATTGTCTATGTGCACATTAGCAAAAGGGGGCAGTCTAAGGAAAAGCAGAGCTTGTGGAACTTAGAACCAGTCGAGGTGGTCATGTGGGAGTCCCTGTGGGCGATCTGGAAAGCAACTCAGCCCTCTAATTTATAGTTCTGGCCCGAGTTCTCTATGCAGGAGGGAGGCAATTTGCAAATGTCATATAACATCGCTTCTCAGCCTTTTGGCTGAAATCAAGTGAAAATATCACATAAGAGCTGCTGCCACCATGAGGATGAAGTGATTAATCACAAATAGGCAAGGCTCTCCACATTTGTGGGAAATAGCATGCACCCTGCCTTAAAGGTGCCCGTACTTCCCTTCCACTTCAGTTCTGTTTGTGGTTCCTATTACTTCATGTCTAGACAAACACAGATGCCTCCTGACTGGTTTGTTGCCTCCACACTTAAAATTTCCTGCTCCCTTCTTGGTTACATGTGGCAGCCCCACCAGATTAATCTTTCTGAGCAATCACTGTGTCATCTCCCTGTCTAGGTCCTCGATGGTGTCTCATTGCCCAGCAAATAAAGTCGTAACTTCCCATCTTGGCATTCAGGGCCCTCTGAAATCCGGCCTCCACCTGTCTTTCAGTGCTGCCCACCACAGATTCTGCACCCCTCCCTTTTCTTTTCTAAATCTGGGGCCATTTTCTTTACGTTTGCTCACCTTCTCTCCTTCCTAATGAAGGCCTTCCCTTCATCTCCTGGCCCTCTCTCTTGCCAACAGTGATTCTGCCAGAATCTTGCCCGTCTTCCTCCACACGTTTTGTTTTGTTCTTTCTCTGATTGCTACTTTCGGTCATTACAACAGACTGACCATTCTCTGGATTCCCAGGACAGTTAGTTTATGCAGTTGAATTGTGGATCCCATGGTCAACCGTAAACTCACTGAGGACAGGATCTGGTGCCTTAAACATACTGCTATCTACCAAGCAGCCTGTCAACAACTGTTGAGCAAATGAATTGGGGGCAGATGATGGTGTACCGGGAGGGAGAGAGGGGGCATGGTCAGCCAAGAGCAGAGGCTGGAACAGGGGAGTGCAGTAAATTGCTGATATGTCTTAAAATGTGAGGGGGTGAGAGCATCCCTGTCCTAGTGCTGCCCTAAGAGTCTCCTCAGGTGGCCTCAGGATAGTAGGGTGTCCCAACACTATGTGGGGAAGTTACTGGAAGTGTAATAGTGCTGCTACAAGCAATGCTTTGCAAAGTGTGTTTTTTTTTTTGTTTGTTTGTCTGTTTGTTTTTGTCTATTAAAGGAGTTTCTCCATTCTGAGTAAGATTTCTCTCTAGCAGTGACATATGTGTTATAATGGTGAGGTGTCACCAAGTGCAGTATACTTAGTACCCTGGTTAACAGAATTCATCCTAAGTAGAGGGAGGGCAAAAAAGAACTTACAACTATTGATCTTATAAATATGTCACTGAGCTGCTCTGATAAAGTTTCCCTCTTCTACAGAACAATATGATACATCTTCAAAAACCCACCCCAGTTCTCAGCAAGGAACATCGTAAGTAAACTTCTTTTGTTTATTAAGTTTGTGTTTATCATGTTGATCCATTGCTCCCCCCCCCACTTTTAAGTGGTAACATTTATAAAATACTATTGCCTTGTAGAGGGAAGAAATGACGCACATTAATATTTGGAGTATGTTCACCTATTAAAGTTTACACACCACAGGAGAGTTTGCTAAGGGGTTTTATAAAAAGAAAGATTTTTGAGCCATTAAATACATTTAGATTTTGGTAACAAGTTTTGGAGGATGTGCACAATTTAAGATTTTTCTGCCATTTTGGGGGGCTAACAGGAGCTGTCCTGCTGCCCAGCTATTCTTTATTAAGGCTGAGTAAGGCCAGATGTTTTGGGGTTTGGAGGAACATTTTAAAATGCATATGAAAGATCTTTAAACCAGCATTTTAACTCAATTTGTCGTTTCTCAATATTATTGGACTATTACTCCTTTCCTTTTTATAGCGAGAAGTGGTTCTTAGGGACTGAGTGGGGAGGCCTTTCTCTTCTTCAGTAGCTAATCCTTCATGAGCACTCTTGAGTCGCTGTCTCAGGATTTCAGGGGGTTCTGGAGTCCGGGCTCCAGCTTTCTTCTGTTTGTAGACACTGTATTTGTTTGGTGTACTTTGGAAGCTGAGGATTGCTATGGGTTGTTTTTAAAACCATATAGCTGAGCCGAAGAGGTTATTTTATCTTCTCGTCTGAATGTGTGGCTGGGGTAAATCATTATTTCCTGGGTGCCAGCTCCTTGCTGCTATTTGTTTTCATTTCTCAATAAGAAAATGAGAGAAAAAAGAATGAGTTTTTTTCTAAAGATTATTATATAATGAAGGGTGAGTTTTGCGTGTGGTAAAAATGTATTTTATTTGTGGTACTGGTATTTTAATGTCCTTTGCTAGGAAAAGAAGTAACCTATGTCAGTAATCCTCCCCTTTTTTCTTTTCACCTTTTTTTTTTT